TTCCCTTTTTCTCCGCTGGGAATCCCGATCCAGTCCTAGTGGAGGAACTGGGGGTCCTCTGGGCCCCTCCTGTAGACTGTCCCCTGCCACAAGGATGGGGTGGGGGGCCTTTCATTGGCATCCTCTTCATGGACCCCGAGGTTGAATTCTGGGGAGTGGGTTGGTGTAGGGTGCCTTGTCTGGCCGGTCAGGCCCGGCCCGGAAGGGCCTGGAGTAGACTTGGGAGTGGTCCCTGCCTTGGTGGGGGTTGGGCAGTGAGCATCTGTTCCTGGTATTAAAATAAATCGAGGTAAATTGGGATCCTGCTGGAGGCTGACTGTGAGGGGGTGTGGAGGAGGGTGGGTGGCCCCTCCATCTGCCTCGGATCTTAGGAGTCATCTGCCCGAGTCGCAGTGGGGACCAGGAGGCGGCTCTGGATGGACCTGTCTCTGGTGACCTTGGGCAAGTGGCAGCCCTTTCCTGAGCCCCAGTTTTCTCCTTTGAAAATGGGGCGGGGGCTTCAGAGCCTGTATTCTATAAATTCTGACGCCCCCCGCCCCCCATCTTTTGCCAGATCTTGACCCCACCCTTTTGCTTAAGATGTTGGTGGTTTGGCAGTGAGAGAGCAATGGGTTTGAAGACACACGTACCCCCACCCCTGACATGCCTTGCTGGCCTCTGAACCTCAGTTTACTGCACTGCAAAATGGGTTGATGGTCACACTGTGGCATGGCTGGAAGGGCTACTCTGCCATGCAGTACATTATATCGCCAGGCTGCAGTCACTGGAACAGGAGCTCCACCACCCAGGTTCCACCAGCAGGACCGCCCAGGGCACACCCTGACCCACATACCATCACCCACACCAGGGGCAAGACAGTGCCTGGGCAGGATCCTGGGCAGGAGGAGGTGCCAGGCCTGCCTGTCCCCTTTCCCTGGAAGCTCTGTGCCTGTAGTGGACATAGGGGTGAGCACTGGGCTGGGAGTCTGATGCCCCCAGGTTCAAATCTGGTTCTTTTGTACATGGCTTTGGCCCTCTGCACCTCGGTGTGTTTTTCTGTGAAATGGGCTGAATCCCTCTTGGAAGATCAAAGGAGACTGTGGGAGGATGGGAGTGCTGTAAATATAGACATGGTCATTATAATACTAATTGCGCTATTACCGATCATAAATGGGGTCACAGCTGACCAGGAGTGGAGAGAAGAGAAGGGAGTCTGCAAGGGTGTCGCCTGCTGTGGCTCCAGCCTGGAGTCAGGTGGAGTTGGGGGCTCAGTGTTTGCCCAAAAAGGTGATGAAGGGGGGGCATCAGTGGGGAGGACTGAAAAATTCCTGGGTGAGCTCAGATGCCCACTCAATGGCCCAATCGCTGTGTAACATGGGCCCCTGCCTCCGTTTCCCCATTTGGGGTGATGGCCTGGGTGAGATACTGTCTCTGATGCGATTGTGGGAATCAAGCCGGAGTGTGTAAGTGGCCACAGCTCTGATGGCCGAGCCTGCAGGGAGGAAGCCCGTGACACAGCATGGCCGCGAGGTGGACACCGAAAAGGAGAGGAAAACCCTGAACTGGCCCTACTGTGAGCAAACGCATTGAGGGGAGCAGAATGGCAGATCCTGTTTCACAAAACTCAGGAAACCCAGAGAGGTCAGGGGCATCCCAAGGTCACCCAGCCGGAGGCCAGCAGCCAAAGTCTGACCTTCTTTGCTGACTGGGCTCCTGTCCTGGGCCCGGCCTCACACCAGACCAGGCACAGAGCCCCAGGTTTGGGGGAGTTGGTGCTGGGGAGGCAGGATTCATCTCAGGAGGTGCCAGGGCTCATGTCAGACATCCCCAGGGAGGACTCTGTTCCCTGCTTCTAGCAGCCAGAAGCTGGGGGGCATCCTGGTCAGCTGACTACCTGCTGTTTGACCTTGGGCAAGTCCCTGTCTATCTCTGGGCTTTGCACGGGCATTACCGAGGCCAGGAGACCTGGGTTCCAGCAGATGCCGTGACCACCGTGTCTCTCTCTGGTGTATTACTTTCAGGGGTCCCTGAAGATGTTTTAACTTCTTTTAAAATCAGAAGGGGGAAAATGAGCTGTGGGATCAAAGAAAACATTTAAATATATGATATCAATATATTTGTCTTTATGCCAATGTAGCTGTAAAACATAGTACAAATTATTTTCTTTCTTTAAAAAAAAATTTTTTTTAATTTCAGAGAGGAGGGGAAAGGGAGAGAGAGATAGAAACATCAATGACGAGTGATAATCATTGATGGGCCGCCTCCTGTGTGACCCCTAGGGGTTGGGCCCACAACCTGGGCATGTGCCCTGACCGGGAATCGAACCATGATCGCCTGGCTCATAGGTGGATGCTCAACCACTGAGCCACGCTGGCTGGGCTACATTATTTTCTGAATGGAGCCTGGGGCCCAGGGAGGCAAAATTGCCCCAAGCCTGTGAAAGTCCTAACGAGACCCGACCCTGCGTTGAGTCTCTCTCAGCACTGCCATTCGTTAGCTGTGCGAGTTCGGACATGTGGGCTGCCCTCTCTGAGCCTCGGTTTCTCCATCTGTGAGCAGGCGTCACTGGCCCACCTCGGATGGTGAGCTGTGGAATGCTTAGCCCAGGACTGGTACTCACTTTGTGGGTTCTATTATTTCACAATCGTCATGATTGCGATTTGTTGGTTAACAGCCCTCGGCTGAGGCCTGTAGATCCAGGGGCCTCCGTTTACCTGTCTGTGGCCTGCTCCGGTCCAGAGAGGTCCCAAGGGTGCTGCTCTGGGAGGGGAAGGTGAGGTGGCAGTTGGGCGGCGGGCGGGGCGGGTGCGCTTCCTGTCCCCCACACCCACGGCCTCGGCCTGGCGGAAGTGGCAGGGGCTGCGTGTGTCTGGTGCCTGCCCTGTCTGACTGGAGCCAAGCCCCACTGACTGCGCTGTTTGGTGAGTCTGAGCCCCGCCGGGAGGCCCCGCGACCCCTCTTTGCCCCCCTCAGGGACAGAGAGGGTACCCCTCTGCCTCCTGGGTTTCAGAATCAGCAGGTGTCACTTCCTGGGCCTGGCCGAGCCTGCGGGCTGCCTCTTCTTACTGTTCCGAGTGGTGTGGTGGGCTGCCAGGCAGTAGAGGGGACGTGGGGGCCCAGAGCCACCCATGACGGTTCTGAACAGGAGCCCTGTGGCAGACAGGCCACAGACAAAGTCACAGTGACCTGGGGTCAGCGAGTGACCGCTCCGTGCCTCGATTTCCTCGTATGTCGCGTTGGGATTGCTTCCCCCGTGTGGTTGCGAAGGTTAAATGACCTGGGGCCTGTGAGAGCTGAGCACAGCGCCACGCACACACTGGCACTCACTGCAGGAGGGCAGGGATCTAATCGGAGTTGTCAAAGCAGTATCGCGATTTTTGGTTTCTGTGGAACTTGGGCCTGGTGGCTCCCGGGATCCTCTAAAACAGCACTCACGGACGTCTCTATCTGTGCTGTCCTACATGGCCGCTGAGCCCTGGAAGCAAGGCTGGCACAAATGAGGGGATTCATGTAAAAGTTACTTAGTTTAAAATTAAGTGGCTAGCCCTGGCCAGTGTGCTCACTGGTTAGAGCGTTGGCCTGCACACCACAGGGCCTCGGGTTTGATCCTGGTCAGGAGCATATACCTGGGTTGTAGGTTCTATCCCAGCCCGCTGGGGCACGTGCTAGAGGCAACCAATTCCTCGGGTAAGGATTAACAACAGCAACAACAACAGTAAAATGAGGTGGCTACAGCCCTGGCTGGTATGGCTCAGTTGGTTAGAGCATTGTCCTGTACACCAAAGGGTCGTAGGTTCGATTCCTGGTCAGGGCACATACCCAAGTTGGTCAGAGCATGTAATGCACGGGAGGCAACTGATCAATGTTTCTCTCTCACATCGGTGTTCCTCTCTCTCTCCCTCTCCGTCCCTCTCTCTCTAGAATCAATGAAAAACATATCCTCTGGTAAGGATTAAAAATAAAAAATAAAAAAGCTGCTACATGAGGCTAGTGGTTCCTATGTCGGTCAGCCTAGCTCTAAGGGATTTAGAGATGCTCAGAGTCTAGATGGCCAGAAACTAAGAAATGAGATAGACATTTAAGGCTTTCCCTTTTTGGGATGTCAGCCTAGAGTGACAGGCTGGGTTCCTCAGGCGCTGCACTGGTCACTGAAGGTTCTCACAAGTCCCAGCATCACCAGGGTGGAGGTTGGGAATATTTGTTGAATCAATTTTATGTGTGTGTGTGTGTGTGTGTGTGTGTGTGTGTGTGTGTGTGTGCGCGCGCCTGGACTGCTATTCATGCTTTAAAACACCAGCACCTGCCCAGCTGATGTGACTCAGGGGTTGAGCATTGACCTATAAAACAGGAGGTCATAGTTGGATTCTGGTCAAGGGCATATGCCCTGGTGGCGGGCTCGGTCCCCAGGAAGGGGCACGCAGGAGGCAGCCAATCAATGATTCTCGCTCATCATTGTTGTTTCTATCTCTCTCTCCCTCTCCCTTCCTCTCTGAAATCAATAAAAATATATATGTTTTTGCCCTAACCGGTTTGGCTCAGTGGATAGAGCATCGGCCTGTGGACTCAAGGGTCCCAGGTTCGATTCCGGTCAAGGGCATGTACCTTGGTTGCGGGCACATCCCCAGTGGGAAGTGTGCAGGAGGCAGCTGATCGATGTTTCTCTCTCATCGATGTTTCTAACTCTCTATCCCTCT